CAATGATATTATGTATGATATTATATGTTAGGTCATCATAGTTTTTAGTATTAAAAATACTTTATTTTCAACTTATTTTGAAATAAAAATATATTCTTTTTAATATAAAATTTTTCATATTGCCCCCCCTTCTCCCTCCAACAAAAAACTTAGGAACCAACTATATCATTTACTCTGATTCATGGTAATATTTGACGCCCTTGTATAACACATATACTCTAGTAAAAATTGATTTGTGACATTTACTAATGATCACATAATATTACGTTGGGTTTATTTAATGAAGAAAAAAAAATTTAATGTAAATAATTTTAAAAAAAATTTACACCGTGATAAAATCACAATTTCAAAAAAATATTCAAATATTACGAAGTGATAATGACCGAAAATATTTTTAAAATATATTGGGTCAATTTTTTTCTCGAAAAAAGAATAGTTCATCAAAGCTCTTATATCGACACTCCATAACAAAACAATATGACTAAAAGAAAAAAAAAATATATTTATTGAAAGTTGATTGGGAATTGCTTTTACAAATAAGGTGTCAAAATATTTATGGGGTGAAGTCATCCTTACTATTACATTCCTCATAAATAGAACACCCAATAAGAAACTAAAATTTGAAACACCTTTTAATATTTTTCATAAAATTTACCCAACAAATCGGTTCACTTCTTCTTTATCATTAAAAATATTCGGGTATATTGTTATTGTTCACATTCATAATCACAATCACGAGAAACATGAACCCGGAGCCAAAAAATATATGTTTGTTGGTTATGCTCCACTCAAAAAGGGTATAAATATTATGATCTCATTTCTAAAAAAATATTTGTTACCATGGATATCATTTTTTTTAATTGCAACCCTTTTTCACGCCTCATCTTCAGGAGGAGCAAGACAAAAATTCGGCTACTATTTTTTGGAATCTTTTTAAAACCCAAGATTCATAAAATAGCTCTCAAACCTTGATTGTTAAACCTAAAAATCTAAGCTATATTATATCAAGAGAGTCTCAAGTTATCTAGATAGTGAAGACAATTAAGATCTTTCTACAGTGCTATCCCATGATGTTCACGATCCTATAACGACAAACAAAGAAGAAATAGGAAAAAGAACTATGACATTGGTACCATTTGACATTATCTACTCGCACCAAAGAACAACGCAAAAGAAAAGGTCTACACCCAGAATTTGTGAACCCTCTAGGTAATATCCCCATTGAGCCTTGTTGACCTCAATTTTCGTGAGGTCTAGTATTTCTCGTAGGAGTTAGGATCTAGCCTTAGGGGTCTTCCTGCGACTATCTTAGAACCTTAGAA